TTGAAACTCATGGTATAGCAGATGAATATATTGTGAAGGAAGCATAGGTAGAACATGACAGCTGCAGAAATACAGCTGGTCCTTAATGCTGTAGTTCCTCCCTCCCTAACCTGTGCTGTGCCAGCACACTCTGCTCTGCTCTGTTGACTCTCCCAATCTCTTTGCTCTTCAAGTCTTTCTTGGTGCAAAATATTTTGCGGAGAAACCCTGAAGTATCTGAGAGATAACTGAAATCTGGTTTTGGTTTTGCAACCAATCAACTAGGGCATGCTGCTCAATATCTGTGTGTCTATTTCCCTTCTCCTTATCTCAAAAAGGCATCTGAGTGGCTCAGTCAGTTAAGCCGGTTAATTGTGGGACTCTTACTTTTGGCTCAGGTCAAGATTTCAAGGTCATGAAATAGACTGGGTGTGGGGCTCTACTCTCAGGGCAGAGTCTGCTTCAGATTTTCTCTCCCTCTCTCTCTTCCTCCCCTTCTCCCCTCAGTTATCCTCACATGTGTGCTCTCTTTCTCAAATAAATAAAAAAATAAAAGAAAATCTAAAACAAAAGGGGGATTCTAATTAGACATAAACTAGAAATAAGCTAGACAGAGTGAGATGTACCTAGAAGAAATGCACTCCACACAGAGAAAATATTATTGCTCAATTTTCTCCACTTACTGCTCCTTAAAACACTCTGGCCTTCTTTTTGTCTCTTTGTTTTATTAACAGAAATACAAAGAAAAGTCAAGAATTGGAAAAATGAGTAAGGAAATAGTACAGAGTAATGAGAAAAGTAAAAATTAACAAGATATTAGAAATAGTAATAAAAGAACAAAGTTGCACAGAGGCTATCACTGGAACTATGGCATGTGCCCAATTTTAATTTTTTATCTGGGAATATTTAATAAATTTCCTCTCTGAGATATGGAAATGAGAAAATTCAGTGTAATTATTAATTACATGCAAATATTTACATAAGTAGGAATTATGTTACAGGCTTGTTTTATTGATCACTAATTACTAATTGGAGAAAGACTAAGAATACCTCTTTGTTTATGTGACAGTTAAAAAGACAGCATTTCTAATGTTTCAGAGTCAAGTAATAATAAAAATAGGATTCCTTTAGTAAAGTGACATTTATCCCAATGTATTAGGAGTATACTTATTATAATACTGTGGAAGCTATAAAGACACAGATATTCAGTTGTGGTTGAAATCACAGCTCTAGAGTCAGATGTTGATTGGAAACATCTATACAGCCGCATTTTGGTAAGCTATTTGCTGTTTGTCTCTGTTTCTAATCTGCAAAATTGGACTAATAATTATACCTAATTCATAAAATTAAATTTGAGCTTCTGTTTGACATATTCTTTGCTATAAAATTTCCATAAAACCATTGAAAAACACAGTCTTAAAATTTCTTCCAACTAGAAGATATTAAGATGCCAACCTGATGCTGTGGCTCTAGGTGAACATCTGGGCACAGTTGTGAAGGGAAGGGGCAGCATATTTTGACAAGCTGACATGACCTACTTGTATAGCTGGGATTCTGGGACATTCAGCAAATGACATGTAAGACTGCTACTTCAGTCCTCACAGGCCTGTCCCCAGTGGTTAGAATCATTGCAGTGTTCTGCCTTGAAGACATTGAATAGCACGAGGTCAACTGAGGAAATGATTAAGATGCACCTCATCTGTGGTTTGACCTGTCTAAAGTTTTTTCACAAAGAGAAATACCTGAGTTGTTGATAATGACTATCAAGCTACACTTTATATACTGCTTCAAAATAGAGGATAAATTTTCAAAAACACAGATATAGAAAAGACTAAAACATAACTGCTGTTGAAGTATGAATCTGGGGGTGCCTGGGTGGCTCAGTGGGTTAAAGCCTCTGCCTTCAGCTCGGGTCATGATCTCAGGGTTCTGGGATTGAGGCCCGCATGTGGCTCTCTGCTCAGCAGCGAGTCTGCTTCCTCCTCTCTCCCTCTCTGCCTGCCTCTCTGCCTACTTGTGATCTCTGTCAAATAAATAAATAAAATCTTTTTTAAAAAAAGCATGAATTTGGAGTTCTGACAGAATCTGTGTTTAAATCCAGTTTCTGCAGCACCTATGTGATCTTTGTTGGGTCATATATCTTTGAGCATCAATTTTCAAATGTAAAATGCGAATGATGGAACATGTGTGATTGTCTTAATGGTTTGTACTAAAGGTTAAGTAAGATCATTTGAATAAAGCAGCTGGCAGAACGCCTAGAACAGAGGGTTTGCTCTGCAAAGGGAATCCCTTCTCCTTCACTTTGCATATCACATTGCAAACCACCGGGGGTTTCTCATCATTGATATCACATTTATGAACTGAGATGGAATTAAAGTAAGGGTTAAAGCCAGTCTATAGAAACAACTCAAAAATCAGTAGAAAAATGGAAAAAAAAAAGTCAATAATTCATTGTTCATTCTACATCATGTAGACTTACTGTGTTTTTATAAAGCAAAATTGATTTTTTGTTTTGTTTGAATTCTTTAGTTGTTCTATTACTGAGTGTTTAGAAGCATTGAGTTCTCCAGTTCAGTAACCTGAAAGTTACAATAGATTGATTTGGAACCATGTCAAAGTAGACTCTACTTCAAGTTCATACCCTCCAAAGGCCCGTATTCTTTGAAAAAAAAAAAAAAAAAAAAGTTTTGCTTTCATTGTAAGCAAGAGTTAAAATAGTATTCTTCGAGTTTATTTAGCAGTTGATTGAATGATTAAATATGCATTTGAAGTAGCCAAAAATGAAATCATGTTATTGTACTAGGAAAAAACCCCTCAGATTAACATTGATTGAGTTTTAACAAATGAGTTGATTAGAGGAAAAGGAAAGAGGAACACAGTTCATCAAATGCAACTTGATGCCAGGTCCCTGGTTTCTCCACAGACCTAATGTACTCTTGTCATACCACCTTGGGGGGGAAAAAAATCAATGACTGCATTTCTTAGCAAGAATACACTTTCTGATTAATGAATCATGCACTGAAACCACTGCTTTTTATTTATTTAGTTGTTCTTCCTTTCAAAGAATTTATATTAACTTTCTCTGAAAATTATGGAACATAATCAAAGTGTCATGCAAGTGACATTAAAATGTGCATCAAAGGAGCAGCACAGATGATATGTGGTCAGAGACTAGGTTTGTACTGACTAGCTTAATTTCTGATTTTCTCTGCCGTAAATAAGGACTTACGGTGAAACTAACCCAGAAATATTAAAATATAGCAGAGTTCCAGGTAAGAACTAGGATGTACTCATAGTAGAATGGTAGAATTCAGCCAGGTCTAGGGAACCCACAGGAACAGGGGAGTTAAAAGAGAAGGCCATCATGCAGTAACAAGTCTCTGAAGGGGTTTTGGGTTGAGCGTTCAGATCAGAGCCCTGTGTCTGTGACTCAAATTTGTCATCTAGTGGCCACCAGAGACTCATGTAGGAGTCTTCGGAAGTAGCTGGAGGGGGAGGGGAAAGGAGGAGAGGGAAAGATTAATCACACAAAATTTGAAAAACAACACCAACCAAACCAAAACAATGGACTGTGCCTATTGTTTTCACTAGAAATTCTTTAAGGCTTTGAGGGTTCAGAACAATCTTTGACAACAAAAAGGATGGGGAGTCCTTTCCTTCCTCAACAGGGAATTGTGAAACATCAGTGTGAGGACAGCCCCAGTCAGGGAAGCTGCTAGAGCTAGATGGTTGGCCTCAGCAGCAGACAACCCATAGCCAGAGGCAGCAGACGTCAGTCCCTTCTCCAGCGTTGCAGGCAGAGGAGACCTTGGTAGAATCAAAAAGGACTATTCATTAGCTCACATGAATTTCTGTCAGAGGTTCCAAGGGTAGTGGCAGACTTTTGAGGGCAGACTTTTGAGGATCCAGCCTATCATAATTACTGTGATTCTATTTTAACTCAGACTGGTAAAACCTTGATTAATACTTGCTATAGAAGAGCGTCAGAAAGGCATCATGGGGTGGTGGGAATTGCACCAGGTGTGGGTCAACACATTTAGGGAGACTCTTGCGGCCCTCCTTACTGTGTGCCAGCCACTGCTCCAAGAGAGTGTTTGATGAGTGCTTATGCATTTAATTCTCACAGCAAGTCTGTTAGTATCCCAATCTTACGCATGACAAAATAGAACCATAGAGAAGTTCACTAATTTGCCCAACTCACTCAGCTTATAAGTGGTATACCTGGGACCTAAAGCAGAAAGTCTAACTCTAGTGGTTGTCCTCTTACCAACTGACACTCATCACGCCTGACATAAAGAAGGTGCTCATTAAATGTTTCCTGATTCAAATCATTTTAGCATGGGATTAAAAATGTCCTGGGTTTAATGTTCTGGACTTAGTAAACTGACTACACTTAAAAGCAAACAGAAAAATGCTTATAAGTATACCAAAATGAAATAAAATCTCAAATGATCAGAACATGGTGCAATAGTTTTTAAAATTTCCTGATTAACCAAGGAAAATTACTTCATGCTTTCAATGCTTTCTCATCCCGTAAGGAAAATATATTTCTAGGAGGCTTGGTGGCCCACACCAAGCCATGGAACTGACAAGTAAATTAGTCTGTGCTAGACGCTGGGTCTCCCAATTGTTTTTGTAGCTCTTCCCCCAGTAACATATCACTGCATGGGCTTGGGAGAAGGGATTGTGCTAACCCAGGATCCTTCTTGGAGACTGATTAACCAGAATGACAAGATCTCAAGGATTGTACTTCTTTGATCTTCCTCTCATCCAGTTGCCAGACAGAGAACAATTCTGACTGAATACATTATTTAATTATTCTAGTTAGTCACATTGAGAATCAACCAACATTAACCACTAAAAAGGAGAAAAAAGGACAAAACACAATGTATGACCATCCTGATTTCCAACTCAAAGTGGCATCCCCACACACACCTCTGAACAAGGCAATTACATAGAAACAATAAAGAACAATTAAATAAATCAGGAAACCCACCAGCCTATTCTCCAGGTTCACTTACCTTGGTGCGAACGATGACTGGCAATGGCAGTAAAACCAAGAGAGTGAAAACTATAAGGAGAAACTGGCGATAAACTAAAATATAAGTAAGGACTTTCATTGTCCTGAGTAGGAGACTTTGAAAGTACTCTCCTCAAAATAAGGCAGATGTTAAATAACCAATGTGGATTAATATTTCTCCAGCCCATCATCATCATTTACTGACCCAGACTGATCAACATGAGTTAAAATTAAATCTTGATTTTTATTGTTTTACTGTCACAATTAACGTGGAGAGATAAGCCCAAGAGTGTTTGCAAGAAATTACATGCCAATTGCTACTGTAGCTTTTGAAAGATAACAACAGTTCTTTCCCTATTTAATTTGTTCACATTAACTAGACTATTGACTGGCCATATCTAGCAGAAGGCAAAATTGTGAGGTTCATTGAGTTTGCCCACAGTGAGGCCCCTCTGCCCCTTCTGATGTCCCCTGACTTCTGGGCTCTATACTTTGGTGGTGCCTCAGGCAATCTCTACTGGATGCCTCCAATGCCCTTCCTAAGAAAGTGCATTTTCAGTGTGTGAATTGAAATAGCAATTCCAATAATAGGAATTTCAGTGTATGGACATGTGAAAGGTAAGGGTTTTGGTACAGATGGATTCTTCTAGGGCTTCTCAGATAATGTGTTGAGGTAGCCCTCTACACCGCCTACATGAAGTTTGGCTCAGAGAAGAGCCCCTGACCTCTCTCATTCAGGAATTCTCTGCACTCATTCAAAAGATATATACTACTTCTGAGGTCAAGCAGCATTTTTCTCCTCAGTACCATATTCAGTTGAAAATGGTTTATCTACTGTTTAAAAGCAAAGTTCTGTGTGTTTCTTGAACCCTGTAGTTTATTTTGATAGAAAACCAAAAATTATCATAAAGCCTTATATAAGCACTCCCCTGTTCCACTCTTTCAGGACTGAGTTGATATTATTGTGCTGATATTGACTAGATAATCAACAGGGAATCTGCACAGAGATGAGTCACTGGGGCCATCTAAGGGGTGTGTGTGTGTGTGGGTGCGTGTGTATCTGTGTGTAAGCACATGTGTGAAGATGGGTACGATTCTATATGGAGGATGTATTTTAATATTGCTCAGCACTAAAGACTGGTTTGTTTCTCATTACTTCATAAATTAATAACCCAATATACTTCAACTAAACAACTACTAAGTACCTAGCCCTAGGTATAAACAGAACACATTTCTTTCTATAATTTATAGTCAATTTCTCTTGGTATAAATACCTTACTTTGATGTGATCTATTGTTAGCATTTAGACCTTATTTCTAATTCCACACTAATGTAACTCTGCTTTCTTTTCCTATAAAAGAAGATAATTCTTTCACCAACACACTGTATTATTAATGTAGATGAGAAAGCATTTTTTTTCCTTCTAAATGTCTAAATTTCTAAAGATACATCACAGATAGTGACTCAGGAAAATCAGGAGAGTAAGCAGAAAGAAAAGTCTCCAAACCAGAAAGGCACATTACATCTTGAATTTGTTAGGTAAAAAAAAGAAAGGGTACTTACAAACAATAGTAATGAATAGTGAGCAATAATAATAAAAAGTATTAAAAAACACATTAATACACTGTGATTACAAACAGGAAAGCTTAATATCGTTAAGGTATGCTTCTCCCCGAACTTAATCTACAGATTCAACACAATACCAGTTAATCCCAACAGGGGTGTGTGTGTGTGTGTGTGTGTGTGTGTGTGTGTGTGTGTCTTTGTGTAAGTTGACAAAGTGCTTCTAAAAAGTATGTGGAAGGGCAAAGGACCAAGAATGGTCCACACAACCTTGAAGAACAAAATCAGGACTTCCATTACCAGATTTCAAGACTTACTACAAAAAGTCACTAATTGGGGCATTTTGGTATTGGCGCAAAGAAAGACAAATAAACCAATGGAACAGAAGAGAGATTATAGAAACTGACCTACACATGCAGGCACCCATGCAATTCAGGCAAGAAATGATGATCCTCTCAATAAACGGTACTGGAGTAATAGGATATCAACGTGGGGGGAGAGGAGCAGTGACCTCCTATCTCATATTATACATAAACTTTAATCTGAGATGGGAAATTATGAAAGCAAAAACACTAAGGCTTCTAGAAGAAAATGTACAAGAAAATCTTCATAACTTTGGCAAAAATTTCTGAAATTTGACCCAATGGGCACTAACTAAAAATATAAACCAGTGGTACATTGGACTTCAATTAAATCAAGAATTTCTGTCCATCAGATGACTTCATTTAAAGAATGAGAAACACATCACAGAGTAGGAGGCAATATTTACAAGGTATGTGTCCGACAAAGGACCTGTGTCACAAATATTTATGGGATATCTACAAGTCAATCTTAAAAAGACAGAGTATGAGATTTAAGAAGTGGGGAAATGCCTTTAACAGCCCTTTCCCAAAAGAGGATCTCAAGCTGGCCAATAAGCACATGGAAGTGTGTGGAACGTAATTACTTCTCAGGAATATAAAACTTCAAAGAGATACCACAACACCTCCACCAGAAAGCCTAAAATGAAAAAGAATAAATCTGTCAAGGAAATATTGCTGAGGGTGTGGTACAACAGGAACTCTCATACTTTGCTAATGAGGGTGTAAATGCACAACCTGGGTGGCCTGGTCAGTTAAGTGCCAGACTGTTGGTTTTGGCTCAGGTCATGATCTCAGGGTGGTGGGATGAAGCCTTGCGTTGATCTCCACACTCAACTTGGAGTCTCTTTGAGGTTTCTCTCTCTCCCTCTGCCCCTTCCCTACTTAAATAAATAAATAAATCTTTTCTGAACACACACACACACACACACACACACACACACACACACACACTAAACAAACAGAGTTACTCAAAACTGTTTCAATAGTTCTTTCTTTCAACACTCTGTACAGTTCATTGCATGACTTTTTTTTTTTTAAGAAACTACTTCTGTTCTTAAATTTCGTTAGGCCGCCTGGTGAGACCATTTGAGTCTCACTTTCTTATCTTAGAGGATTTTACTTTATGAGATGACCCCCAAAATGAAAAGGCATTTGTGTGACATTTAACAGAAATGAGGGAACAGTGGCACTCAAACCGGACAGAGACTAAAGGGAAAACTCCTGACATTTGTTGGTGCCTCCTTTCTTTGCTCTGTTTTCACTGTTCTGGTACTTTTCTCACCAGAGTAAGGCTTGTAGGACCCTCCTATTGTGGCCCAAGGCTCTAGCTAGCTCAGTTTTTTATGGGTGCCCCTTACTACAAAATGGGCCCACCTTTCCTTTATGTCCAGCCAATCTCTTGTTTCTCTGTCACATAGAGCAGAGACCTGATAGGCTACTACACGCTAAGCATGAAGGGCTGATGTGAGCTGCATACCTCTCCAAGGGTCACCAGAGAATGACACTCTCAATGGGAGATTTGGGGCCCCTTAGAAACATATCTTAGGGTGTCCTTCAAATCACAACATACTGTTAACCAGGTCTACAATGGTCAGAGTGCACCTCTTCTTGCTACAGAAAAACATAAATCTCTCTTACAGCTCTCTCACAGCTCTCTCACAGCTGTGCTATGTTTGACATATTTGACCTAAAATGAATTACACCAATGCACAATCATGGGTTAACTCACTTAAAACATGTCCTTTATAAATATAAAAGTGTTAGAAACATTAGTCACTCATTCACAGTTATTCACCATGTGCCAGGGAGTTGACGCCACCACATTTAAGCTTCAAAACCCAATACAAGGTATTGGTATTATAAGTATTGTTATAATTACTTCTCTTCTATAATTTGGAAACTAAAATTCAAAGAGGCCAAGTAAAATGTCCCAGGTACTACATGATATAATAATGATGCAAACCCAGTTCTTTCTGGTTCTTTCTTTATTTCAAACTTGGTGGAGAATGTGTTGCTGGTCCTGTTGGGCTGCTTTCTGTCCTGTCTCCTAACTCTCTCATTTTAATTGGACACTTCTTTGCTGTGGCAATCTATGCCACATATTTCTGCTTTAAGTCGGAACCTTCGATTACAAAACCCCAAGCCATCCTCAGTAGTGGTGCTGTATTGTACAAAGCATGTTCTGTAATATTTCCTCTTATTTACTCGGAAATTAAGTACCTGGTCCATTAAACTTACAGGGGAACCATTTATGAACAAATATTTGGAACTCACCAAGTCCTAAGAGACTTTTGGAAGAGGATATACATAGCATAGAAATATCCCACTTCTAAAGTGGAAACTCTTGGACCAAGATTGGGGTTAATTCATTTTTGAAGTTATCTGTTATCTTTCTGGTTCCTAAGGCAATGATTTTTTTTTGGTACTATGCCATATGTCTGCCATAATGACTATGAATATGACACTAAACACTAAATCATCAGATCTAGAATTTTTATATACACACATGAATTGGTTGGCTTAGAAATTGAAGCTCTAGGGTTTGCTTTTTTATGTTCCTTGAGCCTTATGATTGAACATAACGTGAAATTTGGGTCCAAGCATAAGCATAAAGAAAAAGAAAGATTCCTTCTGTATGTACTCTAAGTACCTTCATAAAGAAGTTAGACTGTCCAGGTTAAGTCAATTACAAGACAATCAACAGGAGGGGAGTGGAAACCAGCTTTTATGTGGCTCTCCACATGCTTCTCTCAGCGTTGTTTTCTGGATATCTCTTTCTTATGCCATGTTTGCTCCCAAATTTGTACTTTTCTTCCGGCCTTTCCCTCTTCCAAGAATATGCTTCCCTTCTCTATATTTAAATCCCACCAATCCTTGAAGTGTGACTTCTAGACTCATCTCAAATCTGCTGTCTTCTTTAGATCCATATTGACAATTCCTGTCTTTCCAGACACCTACCCAAGAGTCTCATTGAGCCAAATACATCCAAATAATCTGGAGTGCTGGGTGAAGGTACAGATTCCCTGCCCTGTTGGGTCAAAACACGGCTTCATGTTTAGTTGGCTCCCTATGTAGTTTTCATATATACTAATATTTAAGAATCATTGACTTGGTATTTGTAAGATACAGTCAGCCTGGAGTAAACTGATTTACACTAATTACAATTTTAATAATA